AGGCTGCTGATCATGTGAAAAGATTACAAAGAGTTGCGAAGCAAGAGGCTCCTTTCTTTCCCTGCCTGCCGATGTGAAGCACAGACACGGAGAAGGTGCGACAGCCCCAGCCCCACAGTCACAGATTCAATAATGACCAGGACTCCCCCTGCTTCATCCCAAGCTTGACCACATGGAAACAGCCAAATATTCCACACATCACCAATTACAGAATATCACGTGAACTTTCAGCAACATAGTTATTCTTCTTATTCCATTAGTTTTATTTAAATTAACGTAGGTAATTACTCATCATTTAATTTACTACATAATGGGAATACTTCTAACCAGGCTCCAGGGTATTTTATCGGTAACTGTAACTTTAATGAAGACAATATTTTCAGTATTCTGTGTTACTGGAACCTTAGGAAAATCTTTCTTATGTCCAACTAGGAAAACAATTGGGTTAATTATTCAACCGACTACCTAGGCTGGAACAATTCAGAGCAAAATCCATGTCTTGAGTCATCACGATGGTGTTACATGAAGCATAACAAAAGTGGGACCATTCACCCCATCTTTATTTCTGGTAGTTTAGTAGCCAGGGGAATGTAAACTTTTGCCCAACTATTTATTGAAGGAACAAGTAAAGGTTTATTCCATTATGAAAAGAGAAGAAAAAACACACAACGTTTCAGCTGCGGAGCTCACAGCCTGGGAGGGAAGTTGGGACATCCAGAACCATTTGTGTAAAAAAGCGTTTTCTGAATTCCATTCTAGAGTGGAGATATTTCGCTCGCTTAATTTGTCTCTAAATACCAATACCCTGATACCAGGAGTCATTCCTGTTGCTTTTCCTAGAAAAGTGACAACAGCTGACTGCTGTATTCGAAGTATATTATTGTAATGCTCCTGCTTCTGTCTCTGCTTTCTGCTTGTGTGTCATCTGCAGCTTTAACGAGTTTCTGCACTATTCCAGCAAGTAAACTGGATGTAGATCAGGAAGAGAAAAGGGCCCAGAATCAGCAGCTGAAGCTCCCAGCTACCAGCCCACTGAAGCTCATCAGGTGTGAGCCTGGTCAGTACCTGGATGGGAAACTCCTGGTAAAAACTAAGGCTGCTGCTGGTAGAAGTGTTAGTGGGGCCAGTAGGGGGCAGTCACCTGTCTGTGTGGGAACTAATGCCCCAGTATAGTGACTGGGACACTACACTGTAGAAAGGCGCTGACTTTCAGATGAGACATAAAACCAAGGTTGTGACTCTGTGTGGTCATTAGAAATCCCAGGATGTTTCTCGCAAAGAGTAGGGATGTTATCACATCACTTGAAGGACTGAAAGACGCATAGTGACTCACAGGCATAGTTTAAAAGAGACATTAGAATTGCCTCTCAGGAGACAGAAAAGAATATTGCAACAGAGGCAAAAATAAAGTAAAGCAAAACAATCAGTACCTGGATCTCCTCCCCCACTGAGAGCTGATGTGTGAGGAGTGTTCTGGCGCACTCTGGCTGCTGTTGTATCATCCAGGTGGGGCTGCACACTGGTGGTGGTGGAGGAGAGTCCCCATTACCTGGAAAGCGCTTTGAGCGGATTGTCCAGAAAAGAGCTATTGAAGTGTGAGGAATTATTATTATCATTCAAATGGCTCCCTGGGAAACTCCCCTGCTTACCTCTGCAGGCTACAGGCTGTTTATCCCTGGTTCAGATCTGTCAGCTTTTTATGAATTGGTTTCCCATTCACACGTCTCCTGCAGGTCCTGTGTGATAGATAATAATTTATTTATTATTACATTAATTGCTATTATTTATTTAGCACCTAGGACACTGAAAATACCATAGTTCAAATATCCTAGCTAAGGGTCCCTGTATAAATCCCTTACTTCTTAAGCATAAGAGGGAAAATCCCATCAGGCCCTGGTGATCTCTTAGTTCTTAGTTCTATGGCCAGCAGCCATATCACCCTGCAACTCACAACTGGCAGCCCACTGGAGCTCAGCAGGTGTGAGCCTGGTCAGCACCTGGATGGGAGACTCTTGGGAAAAACTAAGGTTGCTGCTGGAAGAGGTGTTAGTGGGGCCAGTGGGGGGCGCTCACCCTGCAGTCCATGTGGGTCCTAATGCCCCAGTATAGTGACGGGGACACTAGACTGTAAACAGGCGCCGTCCTTTGGGTGAGATGTAAAACCAAGGTCCTGACTCTCTGTGGTCATTAAAAATCCCAGGGCATTTCTGGAAACGAGTAGGGGTGTAACCCCGGCGTCCTGGCCAAATTTCCCATTGGCCCTTACCAATCATGGCCTCCTAATAATCCCCATCTATGAATTGGCGTCATCACTCTGCTCTCCTCCTCACTAATAGCTAATGTGTGGTGAGTGTTCTGGCGCACTGGTGGTGGTGGAGGGGAGTCCCCATTACCTGTAAAGCAATTTGAGTGGAGTGTCCAGAACAGCGCTATATAAGTGTAAGCAATTATTATTATTATGATGATATTAGTAGATCTATTTGTTTTTAACTGTCCCAGCCCTTCTGTCAGTTCTTCTAAAACTATCCGATACCAGACGTGTGGCTCAGTGTTCTGTTGTTTCCTGGTTCAGTTCTGTCACCCCTGTTCTGAAGTGATGATTTCACGCAGCTCAGTGGCGGTTCTATTGATATTGACTGCGGGAGCTCCTTCTGTTACACAGGGCGTGTTGTTAATATCTTCTGTTGCGCAGGCCTGGGTGAAATATTCACGCAGCACATCTGCTTTTCCTTCCTACTGTTATCAGGCCGTCAGTATCTCATGAGTTCTTCACCTTTCCTGGTTCTTTTACTGTTGTTGCACTGAAACAACATTGTTTTGCTTTACTTTATTTTTGCCTCTGTTGCAATATTCTTTTCTGTCTCCTGAGAGGCAATTCTAATGTCTCTTTTAAACTATGCCTGTGAGTCACTATGCGTCTTTCAGTCCTTCAATCTTGGATCCACCATGTATGGTGTAGAGAGGTCTCTTCCTTCTAATTTCTTCATAAATCATTTGGACCTTTTTCTTCCAGACTTGTGCTTATTTGTTTCAGGGAATATAATAAACTTGTTGTGAACTTTGATATGGTTTTAGAAGAATAACCATTGTTTTCCTATTGACTCTGAGTCCATCTGGTCCCAGTTCACCAGTTGGAAACTCTGACTCATTTCTGCACTGTCTGCTTTTCTAATACCATAACCCTAATTTTAGACAGACGATTAAGAGATTTACAATATACAAAAGTTACCATAAAGGCCACAATTTTCCAGTTGCGTTATCTTGTCTATTTCCTTAATTACATCCTGGTTGTTACAAAAGATTAGGTCAATTAAGATGATCTTTCCTTGCTGGTGCTTTAAGAAACAATTATTAACTATTTCAACCACATCAATTTTGACTTCTGTGTCCCCATCACAGTGCCAAAAATACTATGCAGGGAAGTTTAAATCTCCAGGAATATAACATCATCTTGGCTGCACACCTCCCTGATCTCATGTCTGTGTTAGCTGCTCTGTAGGCACACTTGTTGTTAAGAGCTCTAAGAGCTCCTGTTTTCCAGTTGAACCAGCAAAGATTCTGAACTGCTGGTACCCTCCCTCCTCAGCTCTGGACTGCAGGTTATTTTCACTGCTGCAGGTATTGTGTGCTGCACCTCGAGTGAATGTGAAGGCTGTTCTCTTCGTTTCTCTGTAACAGTAGATTGACTGTATTATAACTTGTGCACCCACAGCAGAAAACACCGCAGGCAGTGCACAAGAAGCTACATGCCACCTTCCTCTGGGGCAGAAGTTGCACCTGATTGTTTCCAGCTGAAAGAAGGATAATAACTGCGTTTAAGACCGAGTTTTGCATTTTCCTGCACAGACCTTCTTGAGTCTAGACAGGGAAAAACAAAAGCAGTAAGAAGTATACCCTAGTGCATTGTGGGACTGTGAGCTTACACATGTTCTTTAATGTAAGTACCTTTGGCTGTGATCTCAGTGAGCAGGATGTTGTTGCACAAACTTGTGGTTTGTCAGACGAATTCATGTACTGAAAAGAATGTCAAGACCAGACAGGCTAGAGGAACAGAATCTCTTCACTGCTGGAAGGATGATCTTTGGAATATCATACCCCCGATAAAGTAAAACCTTTACAAAGCCCTAGCAATGCTCAAAGGAAAGGACATGTAGAATTTTTTTTGTTGTACATCTTTTAATCATGGGAGTCTGAATTAACTACTTCCTTACTTATGTAGTGATTCTTATTCCAGAATACTTCAGAGTCTACACTCCATGGAGACTCGCTTCAACCCCCAAAATAGTGCAGCCCCACCTGGGAGACACACAGCGGCCATTCTGCACCACCAGCACCACTGCACACAGATCAGGATGGAGAGAGAAGCTGCTGTATCAGGTGAGTTAGTGGTTAGTGGGAGTTTTTGTGGGGACAGTTTGTATAAATGCACAGTAGGATTGAGCCAGGACACCAGGGTAGACACACTGCTCTTATGACATTGCCTTTGGATCAATGACCAGGTGGTCAGAACTGCAGAGCGATTGGTAACTGTTTCCCACCATGGTTTTCCATCAAAGATGCTCTTTTCAACTCTGTCACACCTTGTCTCCCAAGCTCATGAGGAACATGATGGCCAGCTGAACTGAGTCTCACCCTGCTCCCTGCTCCCTGCACTTCCCAATCTCTGGGTTGCCATGATCCTTACCAAGAATAAAGAGCTTTCTGATAAAGGTTGGATGGATTTAAGATAAATTTCGATCTTTCTTTAGCTCTTTTAAAAGTTAATCATCAAACTGGGTAGAGGAAAACAATGCTTTTAGACTGGTTCTTATCAGATAAGGTCACGAGCAGCACTTAGCTGAGCTTAGCTGAACCTGTTCTAGAGTATGATACAGTGTACATTTTGCCATTTTGAACAGCCTTTGAAGCCAATGCTTTTAGAACATATTGGAGGATTGATAACACTAGTTTATGAAAGAGAAGGAGTCTGGTACATTTGTAGACATCAGCCATGCAGAAAGTATACTGGATAGACATTTATTTTGGAGGAAGCATTCAGTTAAGTCAAAAATAAGCCTGGCACTGTCCCTAAGCCAACCTTACAGAGGGAACTGGCCTGCTGTTGATCTTTCTTTGCAAATAAACATGCACCCTCCTCCTCCTGTCCTCATGCTGACCAGTTTGTCCTGGGGTTGTCTCAGACCGCTGTGGAGCAACCCAAGAGCTGAGCCGGTGGGTTCGCACTTCCTGGTGTGTGTATCAACTTCTTCAGCAGCGGGAGTCAGGTGGGAGTCAGCAGTACGATTCCCTGGACTCAGGGCCTCGAAGACAGCCTCTCTGGAGAGACAGGATCCTCTTCACTGGGATGTCTGGAGTCCCTGGGGCATCCCACCAGCTGTACTCCGGGGAGAGGACCCTGGTGGGCCTGCTGTTGATGAGGTAGCGATTCAGGTAGCTCTCCTCGAACTGGAATGCGTGGAAACTCTTCTCCATGTCCTGGAGGATGAACCTGGAGCAGACCAGGGCCAGCTGGTAAACCTCGGCGCGCAGGCCCCCGAAGAACTCAGAGGTGTAGTAGTAATCGCCTTCCGAGTCGTCGACAAAGGCCTTCGAGTCCTCCCTCTTCTCGTAGGGGAAGGTGTAGAGGGGTCTGTTGTAGTACTGAGGGTGAAATGTGGCCACTAGGTCGCCTAAAATCTCAGCCCCCACTGGATTGATGAACTCCTGGTCCACGTCAGCGCAGAAGACGTAATCCACATCGTGCCGGATCAGCTCCTTGATGGCGCTCCCCAGGAGAGACATCCTCGTCTTGGAGAGGTGGACCCAGTCTGGTCGCTCTGCGATGTAGAAGGCCTTGAGCTCCCTGCCGGCTCTCAGGGACAGCGGGGTCACCCCCCGCAGGTTGTCCGTCAGTATGTAGTACGTCACCACGTGCCCCTCCAGGAAGTACCTCTCCGCCGACGTGACGAACCGCTGCAGGTAGTGGGAGTACTTCCCCACGACAAACACCACCAGGCCTGTGCGGACGGCCTGGGTCTCGAATTCTCGCCTCCTGCGCTGGGATTCCAGGCTGCCCCCCCACACAACGGGCGCGCCCCAGGTGGTGAGGTTGAGGACGGGCCCGGGCCCTCGTTCTCCGGAGTCAGGTGTGTAGCTGACTGTGGGCGGCTCTCTGGCGCTTCTCTGGAACAGGTGTGGCTGGAGGAAGTCTGAAAGCAGGAGATGTAGGTGAAGTGTTACCCAAGGGTATTTTCACGGTCAGGGAACTTTGTTTCTGTACATAAAGCCTTTTTAATTTACTCAAAATAATAAGGCAAACGCAGTGTTATGTTAAAATTGGGAATGAACTACACTGACAGGCTGGAGGAACTAAATATTTTTAGTCTTGTTTCAGGTACACTCTCATCAAGTAGTATACTGTGCTCTCATTTACTACCAAACAACTGTTGTTTTGCTGTATTCCAAGGTCGTAAAGCTTTCTGTCCTACATGAAAATGTCATTTCAAACCCAATGCTACTAAAACCGAGACGAACAAAATCTATTTTATAATGAAAAATCAATATTTTACATTTGCATAGCACTACTGCCCCCCTGTGAAAACCTATTGTTTATTTGAACAATTTAATTTATTTGTATTCATCATAAAGCTGACTTAATTTTTCATACTAAAATTAAGGCAATCGTTGAAAATCTTTGAATACACATCATTCTTAACTGTGTATATTTGAAGTGTAGCATTTTTCCAATTCTACGTTTTGCTATTAACAGATCTTGGAGATGCAAATAATTTGATCACATTTTCTCAAATAGTGCCCACCGTGAAGTGGTTCTGTCCTCATCAAGCCTCCCACAGATTTAGTTTATTCCTTGTAGCCACTTTACAACAAAAGGGCAAGAACCCATTGTTCTGTTTTCAAGTTGAAATTCAAAAAAGAAAGATTCAACAAGCTGAACTTTGAGTACAGATTCACACTTAAATCTCCCGCAGGGCTGTTTCAGTCTAACGTGCAATTTTGACTTGATAAAATCCAAGTCTCTTTCTCTCATCGCGGTCTCAAGGGGCTGACTAACACCAGCGCTGCAGTTTCTCCGTGTCCGTAGCTGTGTGTGGAGTGTCCCTGCGTCGGCTGCTTTCTGCTCCAGGCGATTTCTTAATCACTGGGTTGTTGATTTCAGTTTTCTGTTGGATTGCACAAGTTGGTCAGGTCTGCTCTCATACAGGTGTGTGAGCTGAGCTCCAGTATCACCAGCTGGACTAGAACAAACACAGGCTCACTGCGGAAGGGTCTGATACAGGCCCATTCCCACCTGTGTCAGTTCGCCGTCAATAAATAACCCGTTGAGAGCCGGTTCGGCAGAAGTAAACAAGGCAATTCTTAATTAGCCAGTGAGGAGAGGCTGAATACAGTTTTGTGTGGTAATGTTGCTGGAGATAATGCACTTGAACTAGAGTATTGCTGAAACCAGGGAGGGCAGAAAAGGGTTAAACCAGCATGAAGATCAGTCTTAGGCGCCAATCACACCAGCCATTAAGGGCCCCATTAGGAAGCAGAGCACAGGGGTGCCCAGGAGCGGGCTGAGACCAGCAGACTAAGCAACACAGCTCCGCGCCCCAGTGCAGACCAGGTGTGCCCCAGCAGCCGAGGCCACAGGAAAAGTACTGGAAGTTTGAAGTGGGATATTTTGTATTAATCTACTGAGCACTGGTTCTGAAAGTTCTTTATGTGATAGATTTCATTTGACATTTCATTCCTGTTTCTGTTCGGGTTATATTTATAGATATAGAAAAAAGAAAACAAATACAGAGCAGGAATAAGAAAATACTCCACAGAAAGAGGTGGCCTAATCATTTCTTTGGCTGGTTATTGCAGTTTTGATTAAACTGTTGTCAGGTTGGTCAAGCGTGATAAATCCATGTATAACAGCCGCTGGTTCTGTCAGTTTCACAGCATGTTTAAGACGAAGTGCATCTACTACTTTAGCCACACTGAAGATATTACAAAGCGTAATTGCTTTAACAAAACGTTTGAGTTAATCCTTCTCAGCCTCAATCCTTGTCAGGCGGAATGAGTCAAGAATACTTGCTGCTAAGTGGGGTTCACGATATCTGAGTGTGAGTGCTCCTGAGAATCACCGGAGGAGCGAAGGTAGTTTCAGCTTCTGTGAACTCAGCACAAGACTGTGCAGGAGCCCCCAGGGACGAACTTACAGATGAGCCCGGCAAGCCCGCAGCAGAGCAGGACAGCCTGTCTTCTGGTGAGTCTCTCCAGCCCTGCAAAACAGCCAAGACATCGATTAGTAGGGCTGGAACTCCTGGACAGCCTTCAACTCCCTCCGCGGCTCGGCTGCTCTCTGAGGATCGAACTGAAGAGTGAAGAAGAGAACCTCAGACATACATGTAATGGGGTCAGGTGTTTCCCCCACGGAAGTCTGTGAAGAGTACATCCCACAATATTCTTTTCTTCTTCTATAAAAAACTGTCTCACGTCCTAAGCTTCCCCACAGTGAGGTAACAGAAGCCACATGACACACACATTACACAATATACAGTATATGATATATACACACAATACATGACTGTATATTGTGCTATAGGCAGAAGTAAATTTCCAGCTTTTTAATACTGAAGATGATGAATGTGTTACAGACATGTCAGTCCATTCACCATGACAAGCAGCACTCTTCATTCGCAGTATCTGTGTTATAATTTTAGTTATTGCTTTATATTTTTATAACTCTTATCATGCTTTAGGAATATAATATTATATCCCTGATCTATTCCCTTATAGGTCTCTAACAGGCAACGTTACAATGAGTGCAGAAGGAGCTGGAAATCCAGGGGAAGTGTCCGGTTATCTCACAGCATTGCTCCACGCTTGGTATCAGTATCAGTCTTCTGCACTCGCTGCGTCCGCAGGGCCAAGAGACCACTTCCAGATAATTCCTGCTCGCAGCATCATTATCTCCATACAAAGGCTACCAACATCCATCCATTTTACCATTACCAGTACTTCCAATTCAGGGCTGCAGGAGAGCCAGAGCCTATCCCAGCAAGGACACACACACACTCACACCAGGGCCAGTCCACCACAGGACTATGATAATGATAATGATAATCCTTGATCCACCTTTCCGTCAGGCCTTATACACCTGAGAAGGCTTACAAACATGAGCCTGTTTATACTCCCCAGCAAAGGAAACTACACAGCAAAGTCAAAATTGTACACTCAGTCTGACTGCATTTCTTTTAATCTTTTTAAGATTAATATGACTGATGAGTACAATGTGATTTACATTTGGTGGGCACCTTTGTAGGAACTTTGATAGTCTGCATTTCCTAGGGAAAGTTTGCGTAACCTTTAATTCCTGTAAGAAATCACCAGAGCGAGTTACCATTTCAGAGTCACAGTTGCGGTCTCTCCCCCACTCAGACCACAGCAGCCTTCGCTAGGGGACAAGGCCCTCATCTCTGGTGCTGGCCTGCAGCTACAAGGAGGAAAGAGACGTCTGTGGTGTTGTGAATAGGCAGGGCACCGCTCAGGTCGACTTTCACTGGCTCTCCTCCTGCTCTGGGCTGAAATGCATGACGCTGGTACTCCAGTCTGGCAGCTGTACCATGCCCATATGCCACATCTTTCAAATGGGAAAGCACTCAAATAACACACAGTACAAGCACTGGGGCTTTAGCCGTTGAGGAAACACCCCCCCTCGGACTGCCAAGGCAGGAATATGGCGAGGCTCGGGGCTGGCCGAGCGCTGCTGGGCTGGCGGTGAGCCTCTGAGCTCTCCCTGCAGCTCCGAGCCCTCCTGCCACTGTTTACCTTCGGCCTGTGTTCCTGTCAGCTGCTTCCTGACAAAACAGCTGCTACAGACACAAGCAGAAATGCCAGAAAGATCCGGTCAGCTGAGGAAGTGAAGGGACACAGCAGCTAATGCGCAAGAGGCACACACTGCCTAATAAACTCGTACTGCTTGTCGTCACTGGTGGGTGGTGCGCAGGCAGGCTGCTCTCGAAGCCCCCGAGGCCTACTTGAAATCTCACCTCACTCCTGTAAAATCACTCGCCTCAGTGGCTCGACACAAGGATATTATTATGCCCAAACACAAGTGCGGAGGGCTCCGTGTGCAGGAAAGCCCTCGCGCAGAGCGGAGTCCAGATGCTGCCGCGCGGATGAGGGCTGGTAAAAGCACAGGGAAGAGCGTGTTGGAAAGAGGGGCTGGCGGCCGAGCTGCAGGGAGAAGAGAGCGCGGGCTGCGGCAGGAGGACGGCGAGCTGGCACCACTGACCTGAGAGGCCCATCTTGTGCAGAAGCCTGCCCATCGTGCTCCAGGACAGCTGTGGCCGTTCCTCTGCAGGAGCGGGTCAGGAGTGTGTGCGCTCAGAAAGCTGGGAGGAGGAATGTGAGCTGGAGTCCTGGACGGCGCCCAGCGGAGTCCAGATGTTGCGAATTGAGAGTGGGGGAGCGCGTTAATCCCCAAAACACTCTCGTCACGTGTCTTAAAGAGCCAGGCTCCTCTCCAAAGGGCATCACAACGCCCATCAAAGTTTCTTTTCCTAATTGCCTCCTGTGTGAAATTCTCTCCAACAAGCACAAACACCTCCCCACCAGCTTGGCGTCTGCTGCTGCACCTCTGTTCTTAAAACTCCACAGTTATTCCTGTGCTCCAGAAAACTCCAGAGTCATTC